GACAAGTGAAGTTTGACTTGCAACTAGCAAACGATTTTGGGCTCCCTGGAAATGCTCTCAATATAGCAGACATGCTTCATGGCATTGTGGATGACCAGCCTGTGCGGGAATTAGCAGCAAGAGGAATATATTATGCTGAGCAAACTCTAGACGAGGATTCGTCACTCAAATCCTGGAATGAGGTACGTACGAAAAGGAGAGACCCAAAGGCATCTCCAGCATGGTTCCACAATGTTCAAAATGCCCTTCATGAGTCCCTTTACACACACAACTTTATCGAAGTATGGTGTAGAGACAAAAAGAACATTCTTCAGAGACTAGACGAAGAGGAAGAGAGAGATTTAAGGGAGCTCCAACAGCTAAATGAGGCTGAAAACAATGAGAGAGCAGATGAACTACTCACAGAAGACAATATGTTGGAGGGGCAGCCCACTGAGGGTGATGAGGATGATGAAGTTGGATATATAAGTTACCTCAGTGACGTGGAAGACCCCAGAGAGCCACTTGATCCCCTAAGTGTAGAACAGCGGGAGGAAAGAGAAAGAAGAGCACAGTGTTACATACAAGAGGGTATGCAGGAGTATGAAGGATACACTGAGTCTGATCGCGAACTCCAAAAAGAATACTTGCGAGAAAATTTTGAAAAAAGAGAGCGTTTGAGAGAAAAAGAGCGCGAAGCTAACGAGAGGCATAGGCTGTGGAAAGATCCTCAAGGAAGGAAAATGTTACAATTTCGCGACCGTTTGGAAAGAGGGAAGAGGGAGCAATGGTTGCTAAGAAAAATAGAGCAAGAGAGGAAAAAAGAAGAGGCGGAGAGGAGGAGAGTGTGGCGACGTGAACAGTGGGTGCAAGCCAAGCAAGAAGCCGCACACTCGAAGGCTATCGAAAGAGCTCGCCGTCAAGAACGCCTACGGTTACAGGCTAGGTTTCAAAGGCTCGATGAACAAGGAAGAAGAGAACAGCGACGACGAGCGGCTTTCAACCGAGCAAGACGTAGAGCACAAGAGCGAAACAAGATACGTGGACGCCATGAACTCGACGAACAAGCTCTCGATAGGAGGCTCAGGACGAAAGCGCAAGAAGAGATGGACTCCTCAAGAACAAGGAATAATAAAATCCCAGAGGGTCATCATCGGTGGTTTGGCTCCTCTGAGTGCCTAGGTGTAGAGATCCCACAGGTTGACATGGACAATATACTGCGTCAAAGAGAGAAACTATCAACGATGAGTCAGCTAACACTTTACTCCGATGGGTCCCTTGAAGAGGCAGGAAGAAGGGCGGCGCGGATGGCTTTCGGGGTGGTGGCTCAGATAGGCCCAGAAAGCTTCTCAAATGTAGTTTCAGGTAGAGTCGATGGGTATGCTTCATCCACCAAGGCAGAGCTAGTAGGACTGTACGCAGCCATTCTAGTCAGTCCCCGTAACGTTCCAACGACTGTCTACATAGACAACATGGCGGTAGTGGTTCAGTTCAAGGACCTTGCTCAAAAGCGAGAAGCAAGCACTGAACGGCAGCGATTGCGATCCAAGTACGCAGTGTGGTGGGCAGCTATTTCGAGAGCGCTCTTTAAGCAGGGCGGGAAGGTAACTGTGAAATGGGTCAAGGGCCATGCTGGGAATAGAGGCAATATAAGGGCAGACCAAGCCGCCAAAGATGCTCATTTTAGCGAAATGTGGACAATCAAAGGACTGGAACACAACGATCTGCGCTGCCACGCTATTTTCGAGAACGAGGTGGTGGAGGATGATCTTAGACACCTGCTAAAACTCCAATCAGCAGTGAGAACACATTACTTGTGGGCGTCTCAGAACAGAGTCAGGAATTATATTGCAGACTGAAAAATATTTAGACAGTAGTTATCAGAAGCTAAGATAAGTGAGAATAAGATGTGGGTCCACACACCACATCCATGGGGTATTTATTCATTTTCTGGTAGAGAGACTCGTACCAAGTAACTACATATCTATCTAGAAGCGACATGGGATTATTCAGGAACCATGTCGTGTTTTGTCGCGTCTCTAGTGACGCGTTATTATTATTATTATATTTTTCTTAGCGTATTAATTTTGGGAATTCCCCTAGTGTGTTCCTAGTGTGTTTTTAGTATTTTTCTTAACCTTATAGCTGGGCCGTTATTATCTTGTATATTGAAATATACAACACAGACTGGCGAGAAGTAGAATGGAAAGCAAGCCTGCATATTCTTCACGATGGCAACACGCCTAGAGGCCTCTTCACCAGCCCAGCAGATTGTCACAAGAGAGCGCACAGAATAAAGAAGGTCCATGGTATGCTTCCTACACTCACTTATATGAGGCAGTGGTGACCGGACCTGTATGAGACTGACATCTGCAGGATGTGTGAACAGGAGCAGGAGGACATAGAACACCTCTGGCAATGTCCCATGACACTGGACGAGCAATTGAAAGGTTGGAAGCAGGCCATAGAACTCATCACGAAGGATGGCAAAAGAGCATTAGTGAAGGAGAAGAAGCTCTGGGAAGACAAACAAGGGAAAACACAGGAGCCAAACCTGAATAAAGGAGGTCCCTCGTTTACACCTGTAGCCGACAACGTGATTTGGGGCTCTTTGGAAGCGATGTTCAAGGGCGTCAGAGAGATTCGACATGCAAGCGCTCTGTTTGGTGAGGAAGATGTGGATATGGGGCGGAGGAACGAGGGTGAGGATGCCCACTGGACTGTCCAAGACTTGTACCACGGTTTGGTGCCGAAGGAGCTGATACAAAAATGGAAGACGATCTTCAGAACCACAGCATCGATCTCAAGGTACATTGTTTGCCGCTTTGTCAAGTCAATCGAGGAACTCGGCAGGACTGAAATCTGGAACAGACGCTGCAAAGTCACCGTCAACTGGGAAAGAGACAATGCCATCACCTCTGCGAGCAAACACGCCAGGGGACGCGACTGCATTAGAAGCCACAGACGTAGCAGAGATGAATTCTTTGGCTTTCACTAAGGATAACAATGAGCAGCAGGCGTGAAGACGATGCAGATCAGCAGATGGCGGCAAGCTGCCGACAGCAGGTGGAATTGGCGGTGATAGAGCGCCTGGAAGTTGTAAATCTTTGATAATTGAGGACTGCGGCTAAAGGGTGACCTTCATACACAGCAGGTTAAGTAGGGTAGAGCCATGCCGCAGATCTCCAGAGCACCAAGGAAGTCTACTCAATGCTGACGTGGTTTATGAACAAGATGTCGTACTGTTACTGTAGCAGTACAAAGTTGCGGCTTCGGTCGATTATTAGATACCGCTTTATCTGCCATCCCAGCAATGGGGCACACCATTTGCAGAGCTGACATCATAACAAACTCTACATGGCCTTGTGGGTTCTCGTTATCAAAAAAAAAAAAAAAGGTATAAACAGAGAAATACAAATGATCCACTGACATGAAGCGCCAAGGTTCACCGGAAGGATATTGGCGGAGCCATCTGGAGGCAGGCTTCCATTAGTGATAACATTTCCAAAGAACATAGAAAACAAGTAATGCAGAGAGCTCCTGAAGAACAAGGTTGGCCATTGCTTATTCTGGCCAAGTTTATCCAGAGAGGTTGAACGGTGATATTGAACCAAGTGGACCAAGTAGGCCGTACCATTATGGCCCTAACAATTTCTCGCTGGACTGCAAAGATATTTTAAAGCTTGACCATTTGACTATGGCCACTATATAAGGGTCAAAAATATATTACAACAGCGTGCGCAGCATCGAAGACCATTTGTAAAACAACGCGTTGCGAATCGGTATAGTCTACATCATCAATTGGTGGGCGAACTAGGGGCCGAGGCTGAACGAGCAGAGCTTGAATGTGGCAAAGAAGGGGTTGTAAAGCAACAGCGGACATCGAGGGCGCTTCAAAAGATGTTAAGACGATAAATGGCAGTAAAAGTGTCCGTGAAAGAAATGCAGCTATGCGAGCAAAAGGGACGAGCTAGGATTGAAGGATGAAGGCAGCTAACAAAGGCGGTAGGGGTGATAAGTGACGCAAGGATATCTATACTAGTAGAGCATTCAGCTTCGCCCAGACGGCTATGATCAATGTGAACACAGTATCACATTATAGTAGCATTCAGCCTATAAACATCACTCTTAACTATACCTTAATAATATCATCGTTTATCTTCACTACCTGCCACACACAAGCATGATCAGTGACGTATCTGTAGTGACTATGCCCATTCAGGACCAAGACTTAGGAGACACTATCTATTGACGATCAGCATGAAAGTATCACCAGCGCGCGCCAAACTCTGTTGTGTGCTCGCGACGACTCTCAACAGCCTTGAGTTACAGTGGCCGATGTATTCATAGATGAAGATCAGTCCAAGGGCGTTGATTCAGCAACGACAGACATTAATAAGTCGGCTAAGGCAGTACTCAGCTAGTGTATAATGATGGACAATAGTGGATCAAGCTTAAAAAGCACAAGAAGAAGTTAGAGCAAAATGGGTGTATAGCCATGCAGGGTATGTCGGAAATGAGGTTGTAGACAGGCCAGCAAAGACAGCCTATGCGGCTATATTAGGTCTTTGGTAGGAGCAATACCACGGCATTAGGTACTATACTTTGATCACAAAACAGCTGCTGGATAAGGATGCAGCAAAAAGTTGTTTATAACAAGCATGAAGCTACACTTCCCTTTCCCATGTGGTTATCCGTTAGTCTTAAAATAAAAAAATTAAGATAAATAAAAAAAAGGGTTTTCTTGCCACAGTCCACTCCGGTAGATGGAACACCGAGTGTGGCCTTAACCAGATAAACCAGATAAGTCTTGGATTTTGTGGCCATTTGGGGTAGTCAAATTAATAATTTGCATTTAAAAAAAGGTTGTTTGCCTTCTGAATATATGGGTATGCTCTTGAAAGCTACAAGGCCAAAAAGCCTATTCCTTTAAGACTTGTAAATATAAAGAGTTTCCATAGTAATTAGGGCTTCTCGTTAATCGGTACAAGCCTTTTTTTCATTCCAGCCAAGTATTACAGTTATCTAATATGGGCATCGCTCTCGACTTTAAAATCCTTGAAAGATTGCTCTAGAGACATGTAAAGCTTCGTTGTACTCGGTTCTCCTTTCAGAAACGCCCCTATCTCATCAAGTCCTTGTCGGAAGATGTAGTGCGCTAAATTTAATTAATCATGGAAGCATAGGTCATGAATTTTGAATCATTCGTTTTTAGTGTGCATGGCCATGAATAGTCTTTTTTTTTTTTTTTTTTTTTTTTGATACCTTCATAGTAGAGCCGTCCGTTAGCCCAATTCCGCTCTATGAATGTGTTGTTTCTTGTGCCTACCCCAGCCCCAGCCCCAGTCCCAGTCCTTATTGCGCCTAAACCTGCACCTATCCATGAACTCTCTTCAGAGCTACAAGACATTTTCGTAGCCATGTAAAGGCTATAGTAGGCTGCCGTGAGCAAGGCTTGGTAGCAAGTCTTCAACTGAGCGAGATCTTCAGCCGTAATCATGTGTATTAACTCTGGATCTCGCTCAAGTTGAACAGTAAGGTCAGCAAACGCATCCTGCAGAAGCCAAAGTGGCATAACTGAAGTTGAAACAGACTTAGATGACATGCGTGTCGAAGAGATATCCGAGATTGGTGAGGTAGTCAGAACATATTCTGCGTTTGCTTTTTCACTGGTGGCAATCTTTGCTGTTTTGGGTGACATTTTATCACTTGAAGATGGCGGCATTGGTAGTGATGGTAGTGTCGTGTGAAATCGTAGACCAAGGGCCATGGCTATCCCAAAAGAACCCAAAAAAAGGCCTATATTAGCAACGAGATAGGCCTTAAATGCCTAAAATTGATTTTTTAGCCCTTTTACCTCGCTTCTGATATTTCTTGATGATTTTGAGAAGCTCTGTCCGTGCCGGTGACTTCTTTTCTGCAGCCATTGTTAATAGCATATTGTTATTGTCTTATTGTTACTAGTAAAGGGTGAGAAGGAGAGAGTGTGTGGTGCAAATGAAGAGTGAAATTTGTGTTATCCATTTACTGCGGCTTGGCTCGAACATGTAAAAAAAAAACTGAAACATCTTTCTGTCCTACCATATTGAAACGCATCCAAAGAAACTCGAGATGGTGCTTCACGATCAGTAAGTTTCGTCGCGTTTTTTTCTATTCATTCCAAGGACGCTGTGCATGCTGTGAGCCTTGTGCAACACATGGTACTACAACAACCTCAACTGCTGACTCAATCCAAACTCCTGGAAAAGCATCAAAAATATAGATTTGCCATATCCAACAGTCAACCGCCTGGTCGACTAGCGACCAATATACATCCTTTGCCACACATTCGATACTATTAGATAGTCTTATAGTGACATAAAGCATAAAATAGGGGCAGTGCTTGAATCGCAGTGGTGCATACAAAGGTGGCACCAGCCTCCATCTTGCAGCAGCAGATCTCATCAATGTTTCTCTGCAATTTATAGTTGCATAATCTTTGGTAGCGACCAGGAAGAATCATGCCCTCTCATTCGTTTTCTCAGGGACAAGCATAAAAAGAGAGCTCGTCTTCCTTGCATTTTACTTGCTTGCTTGCTGATTGTCCTCGTTCCTCCTTGTCTCCACTCTAGTCTTTTCTTTACTACTTGTCTTATTTACACCATCGAATCATTTTCTACTTCAGCTTCGTGAAAGCATAGAATGGAAGGACAGCCCATTCCCATAACTAACGGGTTTACACTCCCTAGGTCCTTTGGTCGCTCCATAGCAGCTCAGCTCAGCAGCGATGGCGAAACTGAAATCCCTTCATTCAGTCCAAGCTCATTTGGCTCGCTTACACCAATTTCCCCTCCAAGTGCATTTCATCCACGAAAGAAATGTAATTGCATTGCACATTTGCTGTCTTTTTTTTTCTTTTTTTTTTTTAGGAGATTCTTTTCAAACTTTTTTTTTTTTTTTTTTTTTTTTTTTTGAATGGGATGGCGGAATGAAATTGTAGACATCATTGGTGTATGTGCAATGGATGACAAAGCTCGTTCAAAGCCCATGCGTAACATTCTGGACCGTCTGCTAAACAGTGGACCCTTCGAGGCTATAATCTTCGGCGACAAATGTATCCTTGATGAAGGTATGTTACTCAACGATTATGAGAATTGTATGGGTCTGAGCGTGCAGAATCAGATGTGATAGGTCCAAAACATGGGAATGGACTTGATAGGATAAGCATGGCCAGAAAGAAAAAAGAGTTGTCTCTAAATGTTTTCTCGCTTTCCGATATAGATGTCAAAGCATGGCCAGCATGCGACTTCTTTATTTCGTTTTTTTCAAAAGGCTTTCCACTCCGCAAGTCTATAGAATATGTTAAACTCAGAACACCATTTTGTGTAAACGAGGTTGACATGCAAACAGTTCTTTGGGACCGCAGGCTTGTGCTCGAAATTATGGACCAGATCGGTGTACAAACACCTAAGCGGCTAACGATGGATCGCGATGGCGGGCCTGCGTTGGATGAGAGAGTTTTGCAAAAATTGAAACTAAGAGGCGTAAGTGTTCCGAGCACTCGATCAAAGCCAGAGTTCAAGATCATTGATCAAGATACAATACAGATCGGGGATCAGATCATGACAAAGCCCTTCGTAGAGAAGCCTGTCTCTGGTGAAGATCATAACATTCATGTTTACTATCATTCTTCAGCTGGAGGAGGAGGGAGACGCCTCTTCCGCAAGGTAATATAGCTAGCAAACTGAATACGTTACACTGTGAAGAGCATTAAATGGTCATAAGGACACTTTCTAACATTTGCCGTCTCATTTTTCATACGGTATTAATCAAGGTCGCCAACAAATCGAGTGAGTTTGACCCAGATCTCAATACGCCTAGAATAGACGGATCATATATCTATGAGGAGTTTTTGGATGTTGACAATGCTGAGGATATCAAAGTCTATACTATTGGCGACCAGTTTGTGTATGCAGAGACTAGAAAGTAAGTTTATTTTTAAAATAAAACTTTATGTTGTCGGGAAGTTAATCAGAGCATGCCATCCAACTAACGACTCTACAGATCTCCTGTGGTAGATGGGCATGTTCGTAGGAATACTGATGGGAGAGAGATTCGCTATGTCGCCCAGCTCACGCCTGAGGAGAAATCAATGGCTGCAAGCATCTGCAAGGTCTTTGGACAACGTGTCTGCGGATTCGATCTTTTGCGTGTGTCTGGCAAATCCTATGTTATTGACGTCAACGGATGGTCGTTTGTCAAAGGCAACAATTACTATTACAATAATTGCGCTAGAATCCTTCAGGACGTTTTTTTGCGTAATGCACGTCAACGCAAGCTGTCCGAAGTTGTCTTCCCCAGAGAACTCAGTGCTGAAAATTCGTGGCGGCTGAAGGCATTCGTTTCTGTCTTCAGACACGCTGATAGGACGCCAAAGCAAAAGATGAAGTTCACATTCAGTTCAGCGCCATTCCGGGAGCTTTTGAACGGTGGAGGTGAAGAAGTGATCATTCGGAATGCAAAGGACCTGAAGCTGGTCTGTGCAGCAGCCGAGCAGGCAATGGAAGAAGGGCTTGAGGACAGTAGTAGGTTGATGCTGCTCAAGAATATCCTTGACAAGAAGTCAAATTTACCAGGCACCAAAGTTCAAGTCAAGCCCACTATTACCAAAGATGAAGAAGGCAACTCCAAGTCAGTCAAGCTACAGATTATTGTCAAATGGGGAGGGGAGGTGGGTAAAAGCGTTGTTAGAACAAACATGTGCTATATCTTTCTTTCCGAGGTAGTCATGGTGCATTGACAGTTTTTGCTTCTATCTTTTTTTCCATTTTCTAGTTCACACATGCTGCTAAGTATCAATCCAGAGATTTGGGTGACAATCTCCGCAAAGATCTACAGATCATGAACAAGCAAGTCTTGGACGATGTCAAGATCTTCACTTCTTCAGAGCGTCGGGTCCGTGCTACTGCTGAGTTGTTCACGCAGCGATTCCTTGATATTAGAGAGGTTCCAAAAGATATGCTTTTAATTCGAAAAGAGATGCTCGATGACAGCAATGCTGCGAAGGAAAAGACTGATATCGTCAAGAAGGAGCTTCACGACCTGCTGCAGCCCGACAATGCAGATAAGATTGCAAAGATATGGCCAAAGGGTGCGACAGATCCAGGAGAAATTGTGCAAGATATCATTGTGACTATGAGGAAACTTCGAGAGATCATGCGGAGGAATTTCAAGATCTTAGATATCGATTCTATTCAAAGATCGTGGTGCTGCTATGAAGATCCATCACTGTTTTATGAGCGTTGGGAAAAGATCTTTGGCGAATTTGCGGATGGAGATCGTGATGACTTTGATCCATCGAAGGTATCGGACCTGTATGATTCATTAAAATATGATGCACTGCACAACCGGACCTTCCTAGAGAAAATTTTTATCGATTCAGAGTCAGATAGTGGTATGGGACCTCTCAAGGACCTTTACTCCAAAGCCAAGATCCTCTTCGACTTTGTGGCTCCACTGGAGTATGGCATCAGCGAGGAAGATCGTCTCGAAATTGGGCTACTGACTAGTATGCCACTGATCAAACAAATTGTTGAAGACCTGGAGTCATGCAAACGTCCAGATGCGGCGCCATGCACGCGCCTTTACTTTACAAAAGGTAATACACCGCCAAATTAGCTTGGCATATCAAACCAAGTCATATACTGATGTTAGGTGTTTTTACATTATTTTATTTTTTATTTTTATTTTAGAGTCCCATGTCCATACCTTACTCAACATTGTCTATTTGTCGGGGATCCCAACGCGCCTTAGCAAGAGCAAGATCCCAGAGTTGGATTGTAAGTAGAAAGATACAGGTCAATTGCTTCACTTTATTTTCCTACAAGATGAATTATCGTACTCACATAAAGATGTATTCCAAAATAGACTTGACACAAATCACATTCGAATTGTACGAAAGGAGTAGCCCTGTTATGCCGGGTAATGGGTCGAGGTTAATGACTGGATCGTCTCTCCATGATGAAAATCAACACTTCCCCAGTTCGTCTCCGGAGTATTCTCTGCGCATCGGATTCTCGCCCGGAGCAGGAAACCCCAATATTTTAGATCTTCATATGGACTCAAAACACTGTCTCTCTGTTATGCAGCGCCGCAACCTGACCGACCATCTCCCTCTTGACGACGCATTGCGGTACTACAAGACCCAGATAGAGAACCCAAAGTACAGAAGTGTCAATCGCCGGATTCGCGAGAGTCGAATGCTAGGGCACAGGCTAGTAGTGAACGAGAGCGAGGAGGATACAATTGAAGATGAAACTCCTTTAATGATCATAGGTTCTCCACCAGTAGAGCGTCCAGGGTTCGTGGAAAGGTTTTTTGAGCCATAAAACACACGGCAACAGCAACAGCTTGATAATATAATAAAAGGCACTGGTTTTCTCCAGTTCTATTTTTTTTATTTTATCTTGTTATATTGTATTTTAAAAATATGTATACAAGACTCTACATTTGTTGCTGCGTCGGTTTTGTCTTGTCGTTCTTCTTAGTGTTGCCTTGTAAAAGCATGGTTACTGTCGTTGCAGAGACCCACTCAGGTTGCCTCACATACTTCGATACCGGTTCGAATTCTATTTTGACTCTCTCCATGACAGCATTACGGTCCTCTTGAGTAGTGCTCTTGCCTCTCTTGCCATTAATCTGGATTTCGAGCCTATGACCCTTTTCCAAATGTGCTCGTGACTTGGCTAGTTTGTGGGCCAGATCGTGTGGATCTGTTCCCCAATTGAGTTGAAGTTCCTTTGTCGAAAGTTCATTTGTCTTCTTTGCTTGCTTGGCTGCTTTGGCCTTTTCATACAACTCTTTTTTACTAAATAGTTTGCATTTAGGGGGTCTTGCACGCGAGTCCACCTCAACAAGGACGTACTGTGATCGATCAAATGTCTTGAGAACGTGTCTGAGCTGCTTCTCGCCCTGGTTGCCCTCAGGCGTGATATACTGGATCCAGGTTGACTCGATCTCTTCGTCACGGCGTGGTCTATCAGGGACTGGGCGCTTGCTCCCTCCTTCCTCATCTTGATCACCACCTTTTTTTAGGCCTGTATAAGCATACTTGTTGGGCCCCTTTGCAGCAGCAGCATCGATATTACTACTTTG